GCAGGAATGGGATGGAGCTTTGCAAGCCCTGCCCATTTCCTTCCAGGGAATGGGGCTATGGGCATATTGTGGGAAGAAATGACCTTTTGCTCTCTCTTCTGTTCCTCTGGAGCAGTGAGAGAGTAGGTGAGAGGAAGTGAGAGGTGTGGTGACCTGGAAGTTGTCCAGCTGGCCTAGAGTAGTGGGATCTGTTCCCTTGGGAATGATCTGGGAATGTGAGCAGGGCCAGGGAATGCCGTGATGGCCACCCACTCCTGGGCACATGGAAACAGCCCTCTCGGTCCCCACTCCAGTCACCCTCTCTCCTTCCCTCCTGCAGGGGCATGTCTTTCCATGGCACCACCATCGGCCTGGCCCCCCTCATGGCCATGTGCTCTGTGTACCAGTCTGGAGGGGTCAACATGGTGAGTCTCAGCCAATATATTGATGCTGCAGAAGGCGGAGAACTGCCCCACAAGACAGGAGGTCACATCTTCTAAAAAATAATTTTATATTAAGTGTTGCAGGAAAAAAGAGATTGAACATAAAGAAGGGCAGTTGTTTAAAATGAAGGCATTAAGTTCTAAGAGGTGGAGGTACTCAGGGATGAATTTTCATTTATTGTAATTTATTCCCAATTTTCAAGCTCAGGAGACACCTTGAAGCAATTACATTAATCATACATCACTAGATGTCTTATATGTTCCATACCAGGGGTTGAGAAATTGTAAGATGCAGAGATGAAATGTTTTTTTTTTTTAATCTGAAGTCTTGTGTTGTTCTGTGTATCTTTATGGAACAAGAGCCTGTCTCAGAGTCACATGAAATTATTGCCCTCTTTTGAAGTTCTCTCTGACTTTGTGAGAGTGTTTCGACTACTCATGTCTGACCTGTGAAGTAGACAGCAAGGAGGCTGCTGTCCATTTATTTGTCCACCCCTCTATCCACCTGTATTTATTGATAGATGCAGCAGGGTAGTTAAGAGCATGGGCTTTAGTCACCGAGCCTGTACGCACAGCAATTGTACAATCAGTGGAGGGCTGTGAGGCTTGGCTAAAGGAGAGGCAGGGCTGTAGTGGGGAGATGTCCTTGACCTGAACTGTCTCCCTGAGCAGGACCACTCTGAGAATGCCATTGGCGTGGCTGCCACCATGGCCCACGAGATGGGCCACAACTTCGGCATGAGCCATGATTCTGCGGATTGCTGCTCCGCCAGCGCGGCGGATGGTGGGTGCATCATGGCAGCCGCCACCGGGTGAGTCAAGCAGGAAGGGGAGGACGGGGAGGACGGCAGAGCACGAGAGGCCAGTGCAGCCCCCGTGTTGCTCCCGGCCCAGGGAGCCTCTGTTATACTAATGGGGGCATTGAAGAAAAAGGTTTTTTTTTTAATATGCAGTACACGGGCCTCTCACTGTTGTGGCCTCTCCCGTTTCGGACCACAGGCTCCGGACGCACAGGCTCAGCGGCCATGGCTCACGGGCCCAGCTGCTCCGTGGCATGTGGGATCTTCCTGGACCGGGGCACGAACCCATGTCCCCTGCATCGGCAGGCGGACTCGCAACCACTGCACCACCAGGGAAGCCCGAAAAAGGGGGTTTTGACAACAAAAGCATTGGAGGAAGACCAAGAAAACAATTGTGTGGAAGGAGCACAGGTTTCTAGCAGGAAGTCTGGTGTGGTGTAACCTTAGATATACTTAGTTTCTGTCTTGGGGTTCTTTAGCTATAAAATTGGCATAACCACGTGTGTCTTTTCCACTTCATGAGTTTTTGCTGAGAACCCATTTATAACAGCCACAGTCCTTAATCCCTCCATGTGAACGAAGTGGGATCAGTGCTGTTATGCCTCGGGCCAGATTGAACGTGCTGAGGTGGCCTCCAGAACAAGGAAAGGGAAGGGGAGCATCCACACCCCCCCAGTGACTCCTCAGGGAATTTACAGGCTGTGTTTACCACAAGGAATAAGGACAAGGCAGCTCCATCCCCCTGTAGTTGTGAGGGGTCTTTAAACCAGAGCCTTTGAAAGAGAATTCTAGAGTTGCTTAAAAGTCAGTGCCTGGACTCAGACAGCAGAGAACACTGGGTTCTTCTGGGACCCTAGTCACTCTTCAGAAGGCACCATGGTGGGAGCTTCTGTTCCTCCCACCCCAAACCATTAGGGACTGCTTATGCTTCTTAGGGAATGGTGTGTCTCCAAGAGGAGATGCAGGGGCTTCCCTGGTGGCGCAGTGGTTAAGAATCCGTCTGCCAATGCGGGGGACACGGGTTTGAGCCCTGGTCCGGGAAGATCCCACATGCCGCGGAGCAACTAAGCCTGTGCGCCACAACTACTGAGCCTGCGATCTAGAGCCCGAGAGCCACAACTACTGAGTCCGTGTGCCACAACTACTGAAGCCCGTGCGCTTAGAGCCCATGCTCTGCAACAAGAGAAGCCACCGCAGTGAGAAGCCTGCGTACTGCTACGAAGAGTAGCCCCCGCTTGCTGCAACTAGAGAAAGCCTGCCCGCAGCAGTGAAGATCCAACGCAGCCTAAATAAATAGATAGATAGATAGATAGATAGATAGATAGGAGATGCAGCTTTCTTGGAGCTCCAGTGTCCATTGTTTTCTCCTCACTTCTCAGAGAAAGTGACACACAAAGGATGATGTTGACATGCAGGGGACAGCTCCATGGGTCATGCTCAAATCCCTGTGAGCTCACCATTAAGACCACCTCTTTCTCTCTCAATCTAAAAAGCATATTTGTAGACAAATGGTTGAGAGAATTATATTAATTACTACTCCAGTTTGTTTTTAAGCTGTTCACAAAATATAGTAGTTTAACAATTATTAGTAACAAGTTCTTTGTGACATTCCTGACAACTGAAGAAAACCCTCCAGTATTTAACCTTTAGTTGGTTTAGAGAATTGGGATCAGGATAAGTCTTCCCTTATAGGCCCAAATTGTGGTACTGACCTGCCGCCAGAGAGTGTGACTTTTGACTCTTTTTCCCAATAGTGGGATCCAGGACCTTTCATATTCTTGTGATAAAGACCATGTGTTTGTGAGTTAGCTGGTTGAGTTTGGAGTGCTGCCTGCATCCTTAGAACAGAGATCAGATCACTGGCCCAACAAAGAAATTAAACCCTTGAACTTAGCCTTTTTTGGCCTGGTCTTCTGTTCTAAGAAAATCTCCATCTAATATCAGCTTCAGGAAGAGTTTGGGTTGGCTGGTATTTTATTCAGCTCTAAGGCTCAAGAGACCTATTGTGACACACTAGTTATCCTTTATTTATTGCAACTCCTTCATGAAAACGGCTGAAATTGTTGCTTCAAATTCTCAAGTAAATCCTCCATGGAGCATGAGAAAAAAAAGCATTATGGGGTGGTTAATATTTCTTAATTCTTAGAATGTTGATGTACAGGTGATGTTCTAGAGGGGCAGAATATATGTGCATGGGACTATAGGGGTCTGAGTCCAGCTGGAATCAGCCTCATGGGCAGCAGGATTGTTGCTGTTCTGGCTGCTTGATGCTCAGACTCCCAGCTAATTCCAACCTTGTTTTTCTCCCAGGCACCCCTTTCCCAGAGTGTTCAATAGATGCAACAGGAAGGAGCTGGACAGGTATCTGCAGTCAGGCGGAGGGATGTGTCTCTCCAACATGCCGGACACCAGGACGCTGTATGGAGGCCAGAGATGTGGAAATGGGTACCTGGAAGATGGGGAAGAGTGTGACTGTGGAGAGGAGGAGGTAAGCTGTTGTGCTGGTGCTAGTGGGAGGGGAAGACTTTGCATTGGCTTCAAATCTCAAGGCTAAAGAGAGTGCAAGCGAAAATTTAGTCATAGGCGTTTCCCACACACACGTGGCTATCAAAGACCCCATCACAAATAAGATGTGGGGGGTAAGCCTTAAATATGGACCATGTCTATGGACTCTCCCGGTTTGAAGTTGACATTGTTTATGTTCAGATTGTGAGTATCAGGTCTACCCAGAAACCACAGTCTTTGCCAGTGAAGCCACAGGTGGCCTCCCTGGCCCTCCAGCTGCACTGAATTTATTCTGAAGGCCATGCAGCCAGATATATGAACTTGAACCTGGGCCTTATGAGGATGCTTAAAATAACAAGCTCATGCTGTTTGGCCTGGAGAAGAGATGATTGAAAGGAAAGGGATGTAGGAAGTACTGGCAAGTCTGAAAGGGGCTTCTAGGAGGAAGAAGGGGCAGAACTGTTGGTGTACAAGCTCTTTCCTTCCTTATAATCCTCAGAATGAGAGTGGTGGGCGTACAGCATAACTCTCTCACTTTTAACAGATGCTCGCTCTTCTGCAGAAAGCAGAACTGAATAGTTTCATATCTGTTTTTTGAAGGATGAAAATATGTACCTTAACATGCAAAATAATTTGTTGGAGAATGCGTGAGTAGTCTATGTATTCAGAATAAACTATGCGGGTGAGATTGAGGGTCTGTATATGTGGGATAAGACTATTTGATTTTATAATCTTCTCCATGGTTTGACTTTTTTTTAATGCCAGCACGTAACTTTTGTAATGAAACAAGAACTAGTTAAAGGCTCACCATCCGCACCACCATGAGTTCAGAGAGATCAGCCCAGACCCTTCAGAAAGGAGAGAGTTGTATTATCACGGAGGGCCTGGTGGGTTTGAAGAGCAGCCTGTGAGTGGACTTGGCCAGTTGCCTTATATTCAGAGGAGATTCTCATTCAACAGATATTTACTGAGTATGTGGTACTGTGTCATGTGCCAGGGATAGGAAAATAGATAGGCAGAAAAAAAAGACCTGGTCCCTGTCCTTATGGAGTGTATAGTCCAGTGGGGGAAACACACATTGACCAAATAATTGCAAAAATGTATAAATACCACTGTGATAAGTGCTAGGAGGGCCAATGGCATGATGCTAGGAGTATATGTAATGTGAGGGGAACTGCCCTACTCAGGTGGGAGTGTGACCTCTGACCCCATAGCCGAAGGCTAAGGTAGGCGTTAGCGAGGAGTGCAGGGAGGCCAAGGCACATTTCAGCTAGAGGAGGAACCGTGCCTTAGGGTGAGAAGAAACATGGTGTGCTAGAAGGGAAGGAACACAGGTCTACCTGCAGCCCAGGGTGGTAGGAGATTTATGTAAAGAAAGTACCCTTATTCCTTCTCTGAGGGGGAGACAGGTGGATGAGTATCTGTAGTCAGGTGGTGGCATGTGTCTCTCCAACAAACCAGACCTGGACAGTGATGGTTATGATATGGTTAATAAGCACGGGGTGGGCCCCAGGCAGACATGGCTTGAATTCGGCTCCAACACTTGCCAGGTATGTGCCTTGACCAGCCACTGGACTTGTCTGAGTTGCGGTTTCCCCTTTTGTGAAATGGGCATAATTGTGCCTCATAATCCTGCTGTGAGGGACCCATGGATGGGCCTGTCTCTATAGTAGGAGTGTGATAGGGACATTTGGAGTCACTGGGCATCTCATCATCTTTTTTTTTTTTCTTTTAATTTTATTGGGGTATAGTTGATTTACGATGTTGTGTTAGTTTCAGGTGTACAGCAAAGTGAATCAGTTATATGTATACATATATCCAGTCTTTTTTAGATTCCTTTCCCATATAGGCTGTTACAGAGTATTGAGTAGAGTTCCCTGTGCTATACAGTAGGTTCTTATTAGTTATCTATATTATATATAGAGTAGTGTGTATATGTCAATCCCAATCTCCCTATTTATCCTACCCCTTACCCACTGGTAACCATAAGTTTGTTTTCTACATCTGTAACTCTATTTCTGTTTTGTAGATAATCGTCATCTTTTTTAAAAAATTAATTAATTAATTAATTTTTTGGCTGCGTTGGGTCTTCATTGCTGCACGCGGGCTTTCTCTAGTTGCAGTGCATGGGCTCAGTTGTTGCGGCGCGTGGGCTCTAGGGCACGTGGGCTTCAGTAGTTGTGGCTCACGGGCTCTAGAGCGCAGGCTCAGTAGTTGTGGTGCATGGGCTTAGTTGCTCCATGGCATGTGGGGTGTTCCCAGACCAGGGCTTGAACCCACGTCCCCTGCATTGGCAGGCGGATTCTTAACCACTGCGCCACCAGGGGAGTCCCGTCCTCTTTTTAAATCTCATGCTGTATGTCAGCAAATCAGGACCTGTAGGGCAGGAAGGAAGAGAGGAGAGCATGGAACCCCTAGAGGAGGGTCCAGGCCAGCGAGGGTTGAGGAGGAGCAGCAGACGGCAAGAGAAGTCTGGAGAAGCAGGCCCGGGGGCTGACATAAATTGTTCAGGAGTTGTTCCAGCATGCCCCGACTCCTGATGGCCTCTTTTTATCAGATAGTAAGGTTTAGGAGTGTGGGGGGCAGGAAGGGCAGCAGTAGAAGACATGGTCTCTGGATGTTGTGTTGGGGATGAGAAAAACAAATCACAGAATTTCCATATAATGTAATACTATGCTAAAAACCATGTTTTAGAAGAATCCGTGATTACAAGGAGAAATGGGCATATTAAGTTAAAAGCAGTATGGGGCTTCCCTGGTGGCGCAGTGGTTGAGAGTCCGCCCGCCAATGCAGGGGACACGGGTTCGTGCCGTGGTCTGGGAAGATTCCACATGCCGCGGAGCGGCTGGGCCCGTGAGCCATGGCCGCTAAGCCTGCGCGTCCGGAGCCTCTGCTCCACAACGGGAGAGGCCACAACAGTGAGAGGCCCGCGTACCGCCAAAAAAATAATAATAAAATAAATAAAAAATAAAAAAAGCAGTATGGATACTATGATTTTGTAAAATGAGTATATGTCTATGTATGTGTATAGGAAAGTGCTTAGAAAAATACAAAATGTAGTTGTGTCAAGTTGTGTGTTACTGATGATTATGCATATGTATGTTTTCTACGATGTATACGTATTACCTTAATGATAAAGCTATAAAGTGATTTTTTGGTGGAGACTTCCCAGGCCCTCACCCTGCCTAGTCCCCTGTATCCCTGCCCTGATGCCCCAGAGGCTCACACTCCCTCCCACTGCCTCCCCAGGAATGTGATAACCCCTGCTGCAATGCCTCTAATTGCACCTTGAGAGAGGGGGCAGAGTGTGCCCATGGCTCCTGCTGTCACCGGTGTAAGGTAAGTGGCCCTTTCCTCCCTGTCCAGGGTTCTGACCTAACAGTCCAAGGGTCTGCTGGAGGGTAATGGCCAGGATTCAGCCTCTATCCTGGGGAAGTGGTGGCATCAAAGTTTCAGAGACATGGAGCTAGAAAGGGCCCTTGAACAAAGTTTACTTTTTTCTATGTTGGGCCTCACTGAGTTCAGATCATCCCAGAGGGCTGTGTATGCCTCCTGGAAGATGGGAGATTAAAAAAAGAAAAGTGTCTAGAAAGAGTAGGCTTGATTTTATTTGGAACTCATAATAGTCTTCATCACAGTTTTGATTAACATTAATGAATTGCTTATTAAGTGCCAGGCATGGTACAGAGAATTTTATATATGTCATCTCATTCAGTCCTTACAAAAGCCCCATGAGATGTATATTAATATCCTCAATTTAAGATGAGAAAACTGGGGCTCAGAAGGGATAAGTGCCTTCTCTGGGATCACACAGCAGGAGGAGGCTGAACCAGGTTGACCTGACTCTGGAGCTCACTCTCTTAATATTGATGTGAAAGATCACATCATTTTTACCACTAATATTACTATACGTCTACAGTCTCTTATCTATAATTCTGAAATTTAGGAAGTTCTGAAAACTCAAAAAAATTTTTTTAACTTATTGGTGGCAAAATTTGACCTGAATTGACATGAGTCTAATTATAGTCTTAAAAAAAATCACACTTAAAGTGAATATTATATTTCATTGCAGAAATATTAATGTGTGTGATTAAAAAGTGTAATCCTAGGCCTTGCTGGTGGGTTATGTAACATACATATGTAATGTGTATGTGTGTGTGTGTGTGTGTGTGTGTATACACACACACACACACACACAAATATGTATGTACATCTGTGTAGTGTCTGCTTTCTAAAATCTGTAAAGTCTGAAGCCCATCTGATCCCAGGGTTTTGGATAGGATTGTGGACTGTGCTTCCACCTACCACTTGCTGAGGGCTCATTATGTTCTGCATACTGTTCAAGTACTTTATTAGAACATTCCTTCTAGCATGACCTTCTAGCAATAACCACGAGAGGGTTATTACCCTCATGGGTGCATAAACATAGGTCTTACTGCTGGTTAAGGAGCTGGGATTTGAACCCAGGCAGGCTGGCTCCATGTGGGTCCTCTTCCCCTCTATCTTGCTCTCAGGTGGAGAGATGCATCCTGAGGCCACCCTTGAACTGAGACTATCAGAAAGCTGCTCAGCTGGCCCATTCTTGCCTTCTGTCTTGGGGGAGGGCCTTGTGGGTGGAGTGGAGTCACCCGGGAGTGTGGAGGGGTGCTGTCCTCAGACGTAGCTCTCCTTGCCTGGATCAGGGGAACTCCCACGCCATCTGGTTTGACTCTAGGATGCACCCGGCATCCCCCAGGGAGGCTGTGCTAGCTGGGTCAGGTCCTCGAGTCTCAGGCTAAGGCCTGAGAGTGAGTGTGGAGAGCGCCCATCTCCCAGTCCCAGGATATCAGCTTGGATCTTAAAAAGGAGTTCCTGGAGAGAAGTGTGTGGGAAAAGATGAGGCTTGGAGTCTGAGACCTTCAATTCAAGCCCTATGTGTGATTTGGGGCAGCCTATTACCCATCCAAGCCTAGGTTCTTTATCTGTAAGATGGGAAGAGTACTAATAACTCTGACCACCCTGGGAGGCTGGAAGACTCAAGTGGAAACTCAGTGTTTACCAGTTGCCTATGGTGTGCTATTGATCAGGTTACTTCATCTGCAGAATGAGGCAAATAGTAGTATATGTAGCTCATGGATATTGTGAGGATCTCATGACTTGAGTATGTGTAACATACTTAGCCTGGCGCTTGGCTCAGTAATGGGGATGTATTATTGCCAGAGTGCTTTGTAAATTCAAAGATGTATGAATGAAAAAAAAAAAAGACATATGAATGAAAAAAAAAAAAGACGTATGAATGCTACTCTGTGTGTGTGTGTGTGTGTGTGTGTGTGTGTGTGTATCTCTACATATGTATTAGTGGGCTTGGCTCTTCTGCCACTTACTAACCATGAGACTTTGGAGACATTATTTAACCTCTTTTGCCTCAGGTTTCGTAATCTATAAAATAGGGATAATTATATTACATAGGACTATCATGAAAACTAAATGAAGTAATATTTGTACTGCACTTAAGTGGGAGCTCCATAAAGTAGCTGTTATTACTAAAGCACTTAGTAAACTGTAAATTGTTGCATAAATATTATTTTTTACCTACTTCTTAAGACTGCTATGCAGAGTTAGCATTTGTGAAAACACCTCGAAACCCTAAGTCACTATTCATATTAGATGAATGATGGTGATTTGAGCTAATGAGGTCATGTAAAAAGCACTCCGAAATAATGGTAATGGGAAGTTCTGTTCCACGAGAGTGATGCTCATGAGCCCTTGCTGGGAGGGTTGAGGGCAGGTGGCAGATTGACCTTTTTTTCTACTCTCGTTCCTCGGCTCAGCTGCTGGCCCCTGGCACACTGTGCCGTGAGCAGGCGCGGCAGTGTGACCTCCCGGAGTTCTGCACGGGCAAGTCCCCCCATTGCCCCACCAACTTCTACCAGATGGACGGCACCGCCTGCGAGGGTGGCCAGGCCTACTGCTACAATGGCATGTGCCTTACCTACCAGGAGCAGTGCCAGCAGCTGTGGGGTCCTGGTAAGGCTCTCTTGGGGGGAACGGCCCTCCCACCCCACTGCTTCCTAGCCAGCCTCCCCCTTCAGGCACTCTGGGTAGCTTAGAATCCTTGGCTTTAAAACAACATCTCCAGATATTACCTTTTTTCAAACCCCTTGCCTCAGGGTAGACTTTCAGGGAGAGGCAGTAGGCAGTGTTCTTCCTATTTCCTTGATGCTTTAAATTCTCAGAGCGGGTGAGTGGATAAGAATAATCCAACAAAAATGGCAGAGGATGGAGACAGAAAAGGAAATGCAAATGGCCTTAAGCTACAAGCAAATTATAACAACTGTGGGATGGGATATTTTTTGTGTATCATATTGGCAAAGACTGAAGAATTAATATAAAAAGGTAATAATAATACTACTATAACTATAACAACAAGAACAATAATAATATAGTTGTGGAGGGTGTGGGAAAACAGGTAGGTACAAACCCAATGGAAAGCTGTTTGGAGATACCAGAATTTTAAGTGCACCTGTCATTGGGCTCATCCATACTACTCCTTGGGGACGTATCCTACATTTGCACTTGCACATTTATGTGAAGATAGATTTACAACGATATTCATTGCAGCATTGTTAGTGATACCAATAACAACCTATAAATCCTTCAGTAGGGACCAATTAAAGTAATTCTGGTACCTCCATACGTTGGGACACTATACAGCTGAATAAAAGGAGGCAGCTCTGTATGTACTGAATAAAAAAAAAAAAAATCTCTCGCGATAAATTAAGTGAAAAATGCAAGATGCAGACCAGTGAATAGACTATGCTGCCACTCTTTATTAGATAGATTATCTCTAGAAGATACACAAGAATTGTATCTAGATGGTAGAGATAAAACTATCTTTAGAAGATACACTGTTAATTAAGATTGCTTCACCAGGTTGTAGGAAAGTAGGAACTGGAATGACTAGGTAGAAAAAAACTGAAAGACATGCTTTATTCTTTAAAATGTTGTGTAGGTGTGACCTTTAGTAGAAAACCTGAAATGGGACAGGCCTTCTGCATTAGAGAGAAGGCTTAGCACACAAGCCTCCCGCAGATATAAAACCTCAATAAGGTATAAAGAACTGATGTAAAACCTTTTTCTATGAGTAGGTCTTGAGGAGGTGGGGGTCGAATAACTGATAGGGGTAAAGGAAGAACAGGCTGAATATTCCCTCCCCTAAAACTTTCTTAACCTTCTGATTTTGCCAAGGGCTAGCTCTGCCTTTTGGGGGCTTCTGGCTTCCGCTAACGTTGGCTAGTGTACTGATAAATGTTTCTTGCCCACCCAGGAGCCCGGCCCGCTCCAGATCTCTGCTTCGAGAAGGTGAATGTGGCAGGGGACACCTTTGGAAACTGTGGGAAGGACATGAATGGGAAACACAAGAAGTGCAACATGAGGTGATGGCCATAGGGCAGACCCCATGAGATGAGGGTGACAAAGCAATTCCTGCTCCGTCCTCACTCCCGCCCTCTCAGCAGCTTGGCTGGCCCCAAACTGGGCCTTTAAATAAATCTGTTCCCGGCCCTTTTGGCAATGTGCCATTCAGCCCTAAGGGAGTCGGAGGGAAGCTGCGGATGGCAATGCTTCCTCAAAAGCTGGTCCGACCTCCTTCTTATAGTAGGGCAGGACATCAGCCCTCTTGGGTCATTTCCACAGGGTACGAATTATACCCTCATCTGAACAGCCTGTTATTCACCCATTCATTCATTCATTTCAAACATCCATCCACCCACCCACCCATCCACTATCTATTGTGGGTCTACCATGTGCCAGATACTGTGCTGAGTACATGGAACATAACAATACAGTGTAATAATGGAAATGTTAGTGGGTTGAGGTGGTCTCCCAAAGGGAGTTATGCCTAAGCTGAGATTTGGAGAAATTATCCAGTTGAAAAGGATGGGGAATGGCGCTGGTACCTGGGAGAGTGTACCAGGCAGAGAGATGAGTAGAGAAAAATTCTTGGTAGGAAGAACTGATAACAATTTGACATAGTTAAAGTATAATGTTGGGGTGCAGTGGGGAGGGGTCTGCTGAGAAATGAGCCTAGCTAGTTAAGCAGGGACCAGATCATGAGAAGCCTCGAATGCATGGCTAGGGGAGTTTGGACTTTGGCTTGAGAGCAGTTTGGAAATTAGACTCCTATAGGGCAAGACTGGAGGCAGGGAGACAGTTTCCTGGTGTCGAGGTGAGAAAGGATGGTGGTGTGGATTAGAGTAGGTATATAGGAGGGAGGGAGTATGGGAAGTCGGGGATGACACCAGGCTTCTGGCTGCAGCACTCGAGTGCATGGGGGGTGCAAGGAGCATAAGGGGGCAGGTTGCTCAGGTCAGGCAGTTGTCCTTGCAGTAAAGAGGACTGTACAAGGCCAGCTCTCTGGCCTCGATCTGCTTGGGGATAAGGATCCAGCATCCTATCCTTGGTCTCAGTCCCCATGGCATCTTTCCTTCTGAGTCCCTACAGCACACTCATTGCCCTTTTGCCTCTCCCCCATCCAAGCCTGCTGTCCTGGTCAAGAAAGACTAAAGCTCTTTGGTGCCCCAGCTCTTCCCCTGCCTCTGATTCCATCTCCTTCCCTCCTTCTCTCTCGGGCCCAGAGATGCCAAGTGTGGGAAGATCCAGTGTCAGAGTTCTGAGGCCCGGCCCCTGGAGTCCAATGCAGTGCCCATCGACACCACCATCATCATGAACGGGAGGCAGATCCGATGTCGGGGCACCCACGTCTACCGAGGTCCCGAGGAGGAGGGTGACATGCTGGACCCAGGCCTGGTGATGACCGGGACCAAATGTGGCCATAACCACGTGAGTCCCTTTCTCCAGCCTCACTCAGTCGCTGGGTTGCAGTGACTAAAGTGTGAGTCTGGAGCGAGGGTGCCTGGGCTCAAGTCCCAGCTTCCCCAACCTCTCTGGCCCTGTGGCTTGCTTCCTTTATTAAGCATGTTAGTAAGAGCAAGACCCACCTCATAGAATTGTTATAAGGATTAAACGAGATAATCCCTGTAAACCATTTAGAAGGCTGGCTGTTATCTCTTTTGTCCTCCTCATCAATTATCTTATGAATTGAGAAATGGACTAGACTAGGAGTCAGGGAAGCCTGGGGAACATAATGGTGGCGTCTCAGAGTTAACTATGAGAGTGATGTTATAAAAAACATTTGAAGCACTTGGTATACTACCTGGCACAAAGTAGACAGCTGTCACCATGGTCATTATTTTTAAGTATAATATTTCAATTAGTGCATATTAATGTACAATTAAGTAATTAACATATCACCAACATATAGTAATATAGAGTGGAATAACACATATTTATTAAAAATACAATATTTGGTTTTTTCTCCCTAACCACACAAGTGATAGCAGAATTTAGTTAACTACCATCCTGTCCTTGGCTTTTTAGGTTGTTTTTAATTTTTCACAGTAATAACCTGAAGTAGGCTGCCTTTTTGAGTCCCGTGAGTTCTGAGTGCAAAACCCCGGTCTCCTAATTGCCGGCCAGTGTCCCTTCCGTTGTACTGAGTGGCTTCTGCCTCGTTACAGATTTGCTTCGAGGGGCAGTGCAGGAACACCTCGTTCTTCGAAACAGAAGGCTGTGGGAAGAAGTGCCACGGCCACGGGGTACGCGTGCCTGGGGTTCTGGGGCTCCTCTGCCATGGTGACTGAGGGGGCAGGCCCTATGGGAGGCCAGAGCTCTCCAGGGTGCTGACGCCTCTGCCCTGCCCTTGCTCCAGGTTTGCAACAACAATCAGAACTGCCATTGCTTCCCGGGCTGGGCCCCGCCCTTCTGCAACACACCGGGCCAAGGGGGCAGCATCGACAGCGGGCCCATGCCCCCCGAGAGTGAGTGCCCAGCCTGCGTGGGCCTCTGCCCACCTTTGTGAGGAGGGGTGGGTGCCATGGGGGCGGGTGGCATGATGCAGAGAGATCATGAGTCAGCATCACTATCCTGATTTTGTAGATGAGAGAACAAGAGGGACCGAGTGGGAGGAGTGGCCCAGGCTAGCAGCCTGGTGTGGGGCTCAGCCTCAGTTGCTCTTCCTCTGTCCCTTCTATTGAGGGGCATGGTTCTGCTTAGAGAGAGATTAAGACAGACCACAGGTTACTGAATAATCACATTCTTTCTGGGGGGCGGTGGTGGTGACTACCCCTTCTCAGCCACTTAAAAATAATCATGAACCTAGGGCACATTATAGTGGCTCAGATCTCCTTGGATGAACAAAGCTTCAAATGAGGAACCAGAAACTCAGAAAATGTTACAGTTTTTTTTAGTGGAAATCTAAGGGATTCTAGCTCTTTGGTTTCCAAGCTTTTAAAAAGTAATAGAGAACTTTTTTTTTTTTTTTAAGGAAGAAACCTCAACATATAAAAGTAGTGTGTCACTGGTCTATATTTATTTTGTGCATTTAGATTTATAATTTGTGAGAACATTGAGGCAGTTTGGTGAAACCAAATGTGAAATTGTGGATTATGTGTGAAAGTTCTAATCTTACATCAATCTATGACTCTCAATGTTTTGTGTTGGTTGCTTTGTGTCCAGGAACATCATGATTCAGGCTGAAAACTAGTGGTAAATAATAATAGAGCTGAAACTCCTTGCCTTAAAAGGCACTCTCTTCAATTAGGCAGAAGTGGCCGGAGGAGCTTTATTATGAGATCTGTGCCAAGCAAGTTGACCTGGTTGTTTAAGCTAATAATAGTGGCTTCCCAGTGGGACATAATGTGTGTTTTTTTATTATAGTTTTTAAGTTAAAGTAAGTAATACAATGTAAATGGAGATCAAATATCTGAAGAGTGTCAGGAATACATTATTTGAAATCCACAGCTAAAGCTCAGACCGCTTCTAAGTCTTTCACTTGGGTTCTATTTCTGGAAGGTGCTGGTCCTGTAGTAGCCGGCGTGTTTTCGGCCATCTTTGCGCTGGCGGTCCTCATGCTGATGTACCACTGCTGTAAACAGAACAACAAACTGGGCTACCTCAAGCCCCTAGCCCTCCCTTCCAAGTTGAGGCAACAGTTCAGGTATGACGAGGTACCGTGAAGGACTTGGAGATTACAGAGCTTTCCGTAAGCAGTACCTGGTGAAAAAGTTGGTGGTGGTGGGTCTAATTCGGGTAAGGCAAATGCCAGGTACACGCCGCCCTCTCCGCTGCTGCCGTGGCTCCTTGACCGTGGCAGACATTACTAGCTGATTTTTATTAATAAGTAAGCTCGGCTGAGCCTGGTCATCACTTCAGAATCCTTCTCAGCAGAATGCCCCAACCAATTCAAGTTGGAATAGAAATGAAACCTCTTTGCTAGCGTGTATCTATCTAATTGATTTGCTCCCCATTTTAAAGGGCAGGAAACTGAGGCAACAGAGAAAAACCGACTAGCTCAAGTCAATCACAGGGGTGGCTGGACATCAGCTCAAGACAGAGTAATTTTTTTTCCTAAGCAGTTCATTCCTTTGGAAATTGAAGGTGTATAGTCTCTGAGTCCTCTATTAAATGACACTTATTCCGGAGGGGATTTTAAATCCCAGGTCTTCCTGGAACGACGCCTGAGGGAGATTGGTTGATGGCTGGTGACATCCTCATCTTCTTGGGGGAGAAAGGTCTTAAAAGGGCGAAGGAAAGGTGCTGAGGAACACCCTGCTTTGTATGAGGCCAATTGTCTTTCCTTGGGAGTTTTCCATTGGCCACTGTCTCCATGCCTAGGGAGCTGGGGTTCAGGAGGACCTATCCCACTTCCACCAGAGCAGACTTGGGAAGACTGAGCTGCTCACTGCCATGCCTCGGTCAGAAGGATGTCAGGCACTGATCCTCAATGAACAACACCCCATTTACTCTTCCTCTCTCCTTCCTTGTTACTAGTTGTCCCTTCAGGGTGTCTCAGAACAATGGAACTGGCCACGCCAACCCAACATTCAAGTTGCAGACACCCCAGGGCAAGCGAAAGGTAAGGGCTTTGCACCATGAACTTTGCTACTTTAACTTTGTCCCTCAGGACTCTGCTAGATTTTCCTAAGCGCCTCTGTGGGCCCACGGGATTGGTGATAAAAGACACTTTCTTGGCTTGAGAGATGGTCAGCTGCTTCTGCCATCCCCTAATGACTTTAAACGTTGCATCTGACCTCTGGGATCCTAGGTCTCTGTGCATGTCAGTGAGACACACAAGACCACCCCTGAGTTTTTAAGTGCATTAAGGGTTCCTGTGTCTCAGGCGTTCCTCGTCTTATGCATACAGGTGACCAACAGCCCTGAAACCCTACGGAAGCCCTCCCAGCCTCCTCCCAGGCCCCCTGCGGACTATCTGCATGGTGGGTCCCCACCTGCGCCATTGCCAGCGCACCTCAGCAGGATTGCTAGGAACTCCCCAGGGGCTGGACCCCCAGTAGAGAGGAAAGAATCATCCAGGAGGCCTCCCCCAAGCCGGCCAGTGCCCCCCGCACCAAAGTGCATCCTCTCTCAGGTAAGTGGTTTCTCAGCAACCCTGGGCTGGGAGCATCACTTTTCAGGCCATCAGCCATAAGGAATGACAGAGGCTGGGAAGAGGGAGCTTGCTGACTCATGGGCTGGCTGCCTTTTCTGCATTCTGGTAGATACAGGGTACACAGAGTGTGAGGATGATGAGCATGAGGAAATACACTACCGAGGACTTCCTCCCTGGTTGGCCTCTTCTGTGACAAGCCACTACCCACCTTCCACCCCAAATGTTAATGTTCAGTTAATGTTTCAGTTCCCCATGGTCTTTTTTCTATCCTCTAGGCCTTTGCAAATGCTGTTTCCTCTGCCACATACACTTCCTTTTGCATGGCCAGCTCTTGTTCATCCTTAGATCTCCTCTTAGAGGCCACTTCCTCTAAGAAGGCTTCTCTGACCCCCAAGCCTCAGTTTGGTGCCTCTGTACTTCTCTCATCATAGTACTTATTCCACCAAATCGTGCCTCTCGGTATCTTGCACTAGTCGGGAAGTCTTACTGAGGGACATACGGTGATGCCTCGCTCGTCTGGGAGGCTGGTCAAGGGGCCGGGCCTCTGGGAGGGGTGAGTAGGTGCTGGGCTATCCCCCCACCACTGGTGTTCTTTGGAAGCAGAGCTGCCTGCCCAGCAGTCTGTTCACCCGGTGTGTCTGTGCTCTGATGGCTCCAGCTCTACCTTCTGGCAGAAGTTCCTGTAGCACAGACACAGATGTCTCCAGGACGGTGGCCAGGCGTGGTGCCTTCCAGAGCGGCCTGTGTTTTTTGGGTGTGGACCCCCTCGGGTGGGGTAGGGGACTTGCCCATTTTCCTCCTGGGACTGCCGTTCTTGGGCACGGTCCAGAGGGCTCCATGGGGCCCAGCCTGTCTCTGCCCCTAAGGACTGTGGTTGGCTCCAGGTCTTGGAGGGGTCCTTGGGACATGGCAGTGTCATGGTTTAGCGGAGCCGAGAGCATCAGTTTTGGTTCTCTGATGATGCAAAACTGCTACTCTCCCATTTTTCTCATCTGGGGCAGCAGGGGGATAGAAAATTCCATGCAGAAAGGGAAAGGAAAGACTGACAGGGAGAGAAGAGGGAAGGAGAAAGGGGAAAGAGCAAAGAGGAGTAGAGGAGAGACGAGGAGACGGAGGGTGCGCTAGCCTCCTTGGGCGGCCAAAACAGCACAGACCGGGTGGCGTAGACAACAGAAAGTTATCTTCTAACGGTTCTGGAGGCTGGAAGTCCAGTAGGCTTGGTTTCTTCTGAGGCCTCTCTCCTTGGCTTGCAGATGACTGCATTCTGCCGTGTCCTCATATGGTCCTTTGTGTACGTGCACCCTAATGTCTCTCTGTGTGTCTACATTTCCTCTTATAAGGACGCCAGTCAGACTGGATTAGGGCCCACTCTAACGGCCTCATTTCAACATAGTCACCTCTTTAAAGGCCCTGTCTCCAAATACAGTCACATTCTGAGGTACTGGGGGTTAGAGTGGAAACGTATGAATTTTGCGAGGGGGCACAGTTCAGCCCATAACAGAAGGAAAGAGGAGAGAAAGGGCGGAAGAGGGGAGAAAGCAGCCACGTGCAGACAGGGGTGTGGGAAGAACAGAGATGTAGGAGGAGGGAGCAGTCCATTGAAACCACTGGTCCTAAAAAACCCACACTGGAGGCTTGTTCAGTGGAGATGGTGTCAGCCTCACCCCAAGGTGCCGAGCAGTAGGTTGGGGGAGGAGTCTCCAGGGGCAGTGGACTCCAGCTGGGGGGACGGGAAGCCTGGAGGCTCCATGTCCTGCCCTGACTCCCAATTTCCTGGTGGCTGCTGGCAGGAATCCAGAGCCCAGAGGGCCACCTGGCCGGTGGGAGGTATCCCAAAACACATGCCAAGCACGGCTTCTGCTGGGGCCCAGTCCCAGATGGGGGTTTATCAAGGGCGGGGAGTGGGAGGCAGCTTCTCTGAGCAGGCGGCAGGGATTAAATCGGGGCGCCGCCCCCTTCCTCAGAACCATTCCAAGAAGAGAGTTTCTGCTGCCCTCATTTTTGGTGTTGGGTAGCTGTGTCTCACGGGGTTGAAGGGGCTACCCCAAGGTGGCGGTTTGTAAGTGGAGTAGCCAGGACTTGCACCCAGGGCTGACTCCAAACCCTTCACCACCCTGTGGGGTCAGGCCCTGGCTTAGGCCCTGGAGTCCAGAGCTGAGATACCACCTGCCCTGGGGGAATTCACGCTCTCCAGATCTCAGCTCCACCACCGCCTAGCTTGGTGACATGGACCACTCTGGAGAGGTGGAGGGTGAAGCTTCGTAACCTCTTCTATTCTGTCTACAAATGTGTATGAACTTCTACTCTGTACTAGGCAGTGGTTAGCAGAGCAGATGCCATCTCCGCCTCACAGAGCTCACAGCTTGCTGGGGAAGAGACTGGTATACATGTAGTGACAGTAGTGGTAAGTGCTATGAAGGAGAGGTTCAGCATTCTTACAAAGAGAGTTATGGGGGACTTGACTTAGCCTGGGAAATCTGGGAAGGCTTCCCTGAGGAGGTGACATTTGAGCTGAGACCTGCAGGGTGAGCAGGCTGTGAGGGGTGGGAGAGGTTTTTGGACCAGGGACCTGATGGTAGGGAAGCTCTACAATGGAGAGAGCCCGCAGATGGAAGAAACTTCAAGGCCCCTTTGCCTAGGGCCCATGGAGCTATGATGAAAGGCTGGAGAGCCAGGGGAAGCCAGACTGTGCCACAGGCACGGACTAGGAATTTGGTCTGCATTTGATGGGAACAGGGCAGTGGTGGAGCATGGGTGACATCTACAGGGATTTCTATCTACAGGGAAACTTCCCTACAGATTTGCCATTTACAGGGATCTCACTTTGGGCTACATTTAGGCAAGAGGGAGGCACAGTGCCTGGGAGGGTACCCAGAGATGCTTCTGAGACTATTAATCTTCCATTGTTTGACCTGGGTGAGGAATACATAGGTGTGTTCACTCTGATGATTCATCTGGTTGTGTGACTCATTTCTTTTTATGTATATTTATACTCTAATTAAAAAATCAGTTTTAAAGAATGAAAGGCTCACTCTAGCGGCATAGTGATCCGAGGGATGAGACTGGGTGCAGGGGTTACAAGTTTAAACAGCGTCCAGAGGAGAGGTGATGGTAGCTTGGAGCAGGGCGGGTGACAGCGGTGATGGGGGGAAGCTGATGAGGGATGTGTAGAAGAGAAAATAGACAGGGGAACAGTTGCTGATGAGGGTTGGGAGGGGATGACAACCCGCCCCCCCCCCCCCCCAAA